AAAAAAAGAAATGAAAGAAAATCATGAAAATAAAATCAGTCTTTACCGAGAATTAATCAACGCAAAAACAAATGAAATTACAAATTTAAAAAATGAAATTACAAATTTGAGATCTGAAAAAACAACTGAAATTACAAATTTAATGTCTATTATTGATAAATATGAAAAAGAAATCGAACGAATTGATGAAATGAGAAAAAACATGAATATGAATATAATGAAAGGTTGAAAGAAAAAGATAAAATCCACAAACGTGAAAAAGAAGAAAGAGAAAGAACCTATAAACGGGAAACTGATCTCTTACAACAAACCATCGATCGTTTGGAACAAACTATTCGCTCTTTACAAATTAGTATCTCCGAATATTAACAAAAAATATATTTTTTTTTTCTTTAGATAGTTCTAAAAAAAATTTTTTTTTTATTTAGTTTAAATAAAAATATAAACAAATTTTATTATAATAAATAAAAAATTAATACAAATAATAAAGGAAAAAATATAAATATTTCTCTTAATTTGCAAATTTTGCGACTATTTTTTTTGACGAACGTCCTCTTTTTGGGCTTCGAGGTGGAGTTACAGGTAAATTCCTTGGGGTCTTTACATTTGCTACTTTTGGTTTATGTACACTTTCATATGTATTTCCATAACGTACATATATCCCGCCCTTATAATTTTTTGTAACTTGCCCGTTTTTGTTTAAAATCATTTTGTATTGTCCTGTTTTAAAATTCCACGTATATAATTTTGGAAGTTCAACACCAACAAAAACATCATCATCTTGTGCCAATACTCTTAATGATAAAAATAATATGAATACAAATATATATCTCATAATGTCGATCACCAATCTTAATACCACTAACGAGTGTTAAAAAAATTTAGTTTAAATCTATTGTCCTTTTATAAAAAAAATAAAATATATTTTATATTTTAAAATAAAATAAAATAAAATTTAAATTAAATATTTAAATTATTAACACTATCAAGGATAGTTTGATATAATCTAGGATCACGTTCTTTTATATTTGATTTTTTAATCGCATCTATTATTTGTTCAAATTGATTTTTATCAATTTTAACATTCATTTTTTTTGAATCATTATTTGGTTTTGATTCTAATAATTTTATATTCGATTCAATGAGTGTTCGATTTGTTGCTATTGTACCTTCTTGAGCTTTTGATAATAATTCTAAAATATTTTTAATATTTTTATCATTTTTTTCATTAGATTTATTTTTATCATTTTTTTCTAATTTAATTAAATCTTTAATATTTTTATATTTATTTTTATCAGAAGTTATAAATGCTTCACTAATTTTTTCTAATGCTAATCGTTGATCCTCAAGTAATTGTTTAGTTGTTTTAAAGTGAGTATCATTTAAATCTTTGATCGTTTTCGTTTGGTTATTATTAATATTTGTAATAGTTTTTTTATAATCTTCACTTATTTTGTTTGTTGTTTTTTTATAATTATCAGAAATAGTCTGAATGGACTTGGTTTGGTTATCTGCTTGATTTTTTATTGTCTTGTTATGGTCATTGGAAATGGTTTGAATGATTTTGGTTTGGTTATCCGCTTGATTTCTTATTGTATCTTTATGGTTATTGGAAATGGTTTGAATAGTTTTGGTTTGATTATTTGCTTGATTTTTTATAGTTTTTTCGTGGTTATTAGAAAGTGTTTGGATGGTTTTGGTTTGATTATTTGTTTGATTTTTTATCATTTTTTCGTGGTTATTTGATAGATTTTTTATTGTTTTTTCGTGGTTGTCAGATATATTTTTTATATTTTTTTGGTGATTATCAGCTATAGTTTCGGTTCGTTTTGCTTCATAATATTCTTTACTTTGTGTTTTAACAATTTCTTTACAAGCTTCCACTCCATCTTTTCCATAACCCCGATAACTTACAGGAGGAGTGATTGTAGTTTTTTTTGGCATTTATTAAAAAAAAAAGATTTTTTTGACTTAAAAGATTAATGAAAAATAGTTCGTTCTTATGAACAAACCTACATTAAAGTATTATTATATAAAT